AAACCTAAGCAAACAATTATAGAGCAAATTAGCAAACGAAAACCTCAATTGAAGCTTAATAAAACCAAATAACAATTAAAAATTGAAATTCGTGTTTAGAATTAAGCAAAAACCAGAAGAAAAAAAACTCAAAAAATTAAAAAGGTCGGGTTTAAGAATTCACACTTTGTTTTTATTAATTTTATTATTGGTTTTATCTAAAAATCAATTATTAAATTGGAGAAAATACAAAGAAAATAGGGGTTGAGCCCGGGCGTCTGTCCGGACTCGCTTGGCTATAAAATTGCATGTTGGTGATTTTAGTATCACCAATGTATTTTAGTAGTAATGTGATTTACTAAAGGCCGATGCAATTATGCGTTAAGCTTGGAAACGAGTTAGGGAAGTGCGGAGTGCACGCTCGTCGAGCTAATGTATAATTGAATATGAATAATTGAAACGGGGTGCGGGGCAGCGCCCCGTTCGAAAATTTTGAATCATTTTCCCCAACCGACATAACCGTTTTTCCGAACAGGTGTGTCTTTTCGGTTTCAGTTATTGATCTCCTATATAAGGAGTCATTTGGCATCGGTTTCAAATACGGAAAACGACACTTTCTCTCTATATTTGTAATCAGTTTCTTTTGCCAGAAACAGATTGTTCTTCGAGAATTATCCCCACAAAGATTTCGTGAACCCAGACAAGAATAGGGTCGAAATACTTTGTTCGGAAAGTGTACGAACACGATTTTTCGAAGTTATCCAAGATTATCATACCCAAATATCTTACACTGCAGCCCTTCAAGAACATCATTCAAGTGATCCAAAGAGAAGGCATGAATTTCTAAGACTATGTTTGAGAGTTTGGAAGGGAACGAAGGGGAGAGTTTTGAAAAATAGGAATGGTTGAGTGAAAAGAGTAAAAAAAAATTGTTCAAAAAGGGTTTTGGAGGGTTTGTTTTTCTTCCTAACACCAAAAATCCCCTAATTTGAGAAACTCAAAATTTATTTTGGAGGAAGGTTTTGGGAGATTTAATCAATTTGTTCAAATATAACTTTTTTTTGTTATAGTATTTAAAAAACTAAAAATGCATTAATGATAAATATTATTTTATCATTCTAAACAAAATCTTTTTTTCAAAAAATATTAAAAATTTCTTTATATATTTTAAAAAAATTATTTTTGAAAGTCCTCTCTTTCATATTCCCAAACATAGCTTAAGAAAACAACAGAGATCATAAACAACAAAAAGAACTTACAAAGCTTCAATAATACAAAGATTGTTGAACAATAAGAAATGTCCGCTTCATACCAACACGACGGTGGAACTCCCTAACTTGTGAGAGTGACAGAAACAGGGGAACACTAAGGATTTCTTGTAACCACTGACCCTAATTCTGAAACGACAGAAAGGAAGAGTGAGAATGGTAACCACTAATCCTAATCCCGAAACATCCAGATCACTATTATATCATTACTTCAAGAAGAAAAAAAAGAAGAACAGAGAACTTACAGAGCTTCAATAGCACAGACGACGGCGGCGGCAGAAACTCTACGAGTGAGGATGATGGAAACAAGTGAAAGAATGGGAAATCCTAATCATGGGTAAATGGAAATAACTATTACTAGTTACAAGTATATATAGATAGGAAAAACTTAAGTGCATTTCCTTAGGTGTGATTTATGTTTTTTTAAATGAAAATATGACAAGTGTATAATTTTCTCTTACACATATGCAATTTCTTCTTATTTTTACTCCTTAACATATATTTAGATATATTTGTCATATTTTTATTGGAGAAAAGTATGAACGACACTTATAGAATTGTATCTAAGTATTTTCCATATAAATAATATATTCGATTCGGATCGGATTCCGACGGATCACATTTTACCAACCGACCCCGACCTATGTTAATTGTTCATATCCAATCAATTGGACCGGAAAAACCCATAAACCAAAATAAACCGAACTATGGCCCAAAACCAAGTTCGGACCGGTTGAGTCCAATTGGATGATTACTTTTTGTCCACCCCTATATACTACTATCAACTCCGTCTCAAATTACAATAGTCGCTCTAATAACATATGTACTTTATTTTACATTTGAGAAAAATTATATACAATTATTAAGTGTGATTCTTAGTATTTCTCAATAAAAAATAACAAGATACCTAAATCTTGTTTAAAGAGTGAAAACAGGAAAAAAAAATTATATATATATATATATATATATATATATATATATATATATATATATATATATATATATATATATATATATATATATATATATATATATATATATATATATATATATATATATATATATATATATATATATATATATATATATATATATATATATATATATATATATATATATATATATATATATATATATATATATATATATATATATATATGAGAAAATTATATATTTATAATATTTTTATTTAAAAATTAAAGTTGTATCTAAATTTTCTCTTTTTAAATTTACTTTTATTTTTAAAATACTAAACTATTAGTTATTTATTTATTAATATTAAGTTCTTGGTCAAATTTTATTCAATAAACTAATTATTAAGACTATTATTTTTTAATTGTTTTATATATAATTAAGATTATATAGAAATAACATACAAACGAGCAATAAGTCATGTTATTGTCTTTTTTTTATGACAAAATTAATCCTCTTAAAAACTATAATTATTGTCCTAGACGATACAATATTTCATATGCATAACCTTTTGTATTTTCTATAAAAGATTCACTGTTTTTGATGCTAAAAACTCAAAATGTCAAAGACAAATGGTACGAAAGCATGTTAATTGTCAGAATATATTTTCTCATGTTTGATCATTTTAATTGAAGTGACCTTCAGAAATGTTTGTCTCACAGAAATATCTCTAATCTTTCCACCGATGAAAATACCTTCAATCAAGTCTACACATGCATGTTTCTCTCGTACTCATCCATACACTAGAACATCTGCTGATTTAAGAATCGATCTCTCCTCTTATAGGTCAATCAAAAAATTTACTGACACCTCTTTTTTCACAAATTTCTCTTGCACTCCTAAATATATCAAATAGGATATCCCTAACAATTGTTAACAAATTGTTCATATTTATAATGGTGTGTTTAAAGGGTTGATTTCTCCAATACTAACTAAATTTGAAATCGTTCAAATTTGTTTCATCGAATTGCGTTTTCTAGCAATTTAAACATACTTAAGGACATATTAAGGGCATGGGCCTTTACATCTAGTCCATATTTTCATCTAATTTTTTTTAATTGATATATGCGCTCTAAGTATTTCTTTCTCATTTTAGTGAAAAATAAAAATTACACCTAAAATTTAAAAATATATTTCCTGATGCACTTCAAATACACTAAATTTATGAATAAGTAAGTCACACAATTTGTTTTTGTAAAAAAATCATCTAAAAATATAATTCTGAAACAAATCCAAAAGTAACCGAAACAAATGTGGATTTTCTTGATTGTCCCATTCAAATTTTCACATCAAATTTCATTGGTTATTCTACTAACATCCCTGAGATCAAATGGCAAGGGCATATTTGCCTTCAATATGACGTGGACGGATATAAAAGGCCTAATCCATAAGTCATAGAACCTTTTGTGGTTCTTAGTTACCCTTTGATCTAATATTTTTTGCATTTTTATATTTTTGATGTTTTCTTAACTTTTATATTTTTGATGTTTTCTTAACTATATTTTCAAACTCTTTTTTATGACAAAATAAGAGTGACTCATTTACACGTAGATTTAGTGTAAATAGATATAAAATGAATTCAGTAGTGTATCTTCGGACTAAATTTCAAAGACCCAAACATTCATTAAATAGATTAAATTTTCATTTGTGAGAGCTCATTTAAAGATCCAAACATTCACCATTAAATCAACTCTTTTTATAAGAAAAATTCAATGAGAATTTCTTAATGCACTTTATAGAATAGAAAATCACATTAAAATCACATTGTTTGATGCAACAGTAAATCAATATACTTGATCATATTTGCTTTGTTGTGAAACATACAAGAATTTCAATTATTTAAATAGTTTACAGGTATTTCTTACCTCTTAATTATGTAATAACAAGGATTGAGTTGCCTTGCTTTCAGCTTGAAGTATACACTTTCAAACATGTAATAAAAATGTAAGAAAATTGTTCCCACAAGAATTGAGTCGGTTTGTTTTCTATTAATTCAACTTAATTTAGTTAGCAAGTAAGGAAAGAAAGTAAATAAAGTTCATCATTTCAATATTTATAACAACAATATATGAACAAACAGTATTTAGGAAAATTAAATGACTTGGATCTGAGCCAAAAAGTGTGGATATTAAATTCACTGGAATTTAATAACTATTTTCGAAGACATTTCAGAAATGTATTTCCAAAATAAATTTAGTCATACAATATGGGACATAATTCTAAAACAAATGAATTGTATATGTGAGGTGCATCTGAAAATGCATTTTCAAAATTTCACGTGCACTAGAAATACAGAAAGTGCATTAAGAAATTCTAAAATTCAATAGAAGAGAACAACAAAAGGACCACAAAATCAGAACAAAAACTCCAAAAGGAAAAAGGAAAAAGGAAAAAACAACAAAAGGATCACCCCCAAGCACCAACTAATCAAAGCAAGAGATCAGCTTGACACACCAATCCGCCCAACTACATTCCTTCTTGAACTTATTGAAGGACACTAGCCATTCCCACGGAAAAAAACTCGATCTTTCCTAACAAATCCAATTTACATAAAATCCCCCAATGAACCAAATTGTATTTCTACAGAGTCAAATGACCCAACAAAAAGCTAGGCTAAATAACCAACCAACCTCACAACGAAATTTAGATTAAGTTTTATAACCTAAAGTTCTAAGACAAAGCAACAAAGACTTGAACTACAAGCCCAAGTCGAAATCCAACCAAACGCGTAATCTAACAAAAACAAGCTTACTAGCTTTCCAAGCATGAAAGAGGTGAGTGATGTCCTCCAAATCAAGAAATCAAAGAGGACACACCCCATTATGCTCACCTTCAATAATTCCACGCTTTCCTACCTCCACTTTAGTAGGTAATCTATTCAAGAGAATTCCCCAACCAAAAATTACCAGCACCTTGCTACGAACCTTGGTTTTCCACAACAACCGCAAATCCACTTTCAAACCGGGATGTATAAACAGATCCGGATGAAGCAACTTATGAATCCTGTGGTAGCTTGACTTAATCGAAAACCCATGTACATTTCTCCACCAAATGAACGTGTCGACCGAATTCTGAACCGGCTTTCGTCCTGCAACAACCACTGCAGATCCACTACTGAACCAGTAGCTTCCACGGCTGCCGAATCAGCTGCCGAAACGGACTGCAGGCTGTTTGCAGACTCTGGCAGCAGTCTGCAGAAACGGACTCTGGCACCACTAAGTCAACCATTGGGATTCATATTTGCATAACTTATTCAAGGTACACACATCTCAATTTAAAGAATAAAACAGATATATAAAAATATTAACAAAATAAAAACTGAAATAAGATAAAGAAATACATGCATTATAATAGTACTTGTCAATTGATATAGCTTCAATTGTCGCTGAAATAGCCAAAAAAAGAGTAAGTCACCCTTTTGAAATATGGACCTTGCTCGCATTAATCAAGAAAACCAAATATGGAACAAATCTTGCTCCCATAAATCACATAGACTGACTTATTAGTATAATCAAAGGTGTTCTGTTAGTTCTGAATGTAGGAATTAACACAAGAGACCAGGTCCACATTTCTGTCCTGAAATACAAGTATTGGCGTTAGTTCCATCTCCTGAGAATTAGATGATGCTCTTCATAGTTCCAATACAATTTTCCACAACCCAGCAAAGTCCATAGCTCCTACGGATTCTGATTATACTACTAATTACTCAGTGGACTTTTCAGGTGTCTAACCAACAAATGACCACGAATTCAGCTTTGTTGAAGTGGTAATTAACCACTTCCATTACTCATTATATATGGCTCACACTATAGAATAAAAAATTATCATAGATACTTCCATCTATTTTAGGCTCCCAAAACAAACAACTGCATAAGCAAACATTTATTAAGCAATTTTTATGTACAACTCTGAGCCAATAAGCCAAAATCAACTGTGACATTTTTGCTCTTTCATGAGTATTACATACTCAAGTCAAAGATCATCAAGAACCGGTAGTTATTCCATGCAAAAACAAGATACCAAAACAATTGGAATCAAAGTAAATTTAAAACATCATTCCACTTTCAGCAACTGTTTTTTCCTTCACTATAAACTAACTGAAATCATTTAATATCAAAATATCATTTTATCACAGATAACTAAATCATAACTCACTAGCCTCATCAAAAGTTGAACCCCCACCTATGTTTGTCTCCTCATCCGCTTCCTAAGCTTCTGATACTTGTGTTTGTTCATCTTCTTCTTCCGCTTCTTCTTCACGCTATCAGCCCAAAGGGTTCGAGAATCTTCCAACTCAGTATCCTCTGACGGATGGGAAAGAATCCCATTTTCAAAAACAGGTTTTGAAGCAAACCCAAAAGGGAAACTAGGGAAGATCAATGTTGAACTAGAGGATCCGACAAATCGATGTGTTAGTATTGGGCTTATTGGGAAGGGTTCAGCGGGCACGCTGTGTTCTTGATGATTGGGAATGATGGAGTTTGCTTTTTGCAAAGGGTGAAAAGCAGGGGTGAGTCTTGATGATGGTTGTTTTTTCAGAAGTTTTTGTAGCAAAGAAGCCATTGAAGAACCGAAGACGGCTTTTTCCTGTTTCAAAAAAGGATTAGAGTAGGCGCTGACGATAAAAACTTCTTCATAGATATCCATAAGCACTCAGATTTGAAAAATGAAGAAATCATTGCAGATATATATCATACAAAGAGCAGTTTGAATTATCTTGAATACATTATACAATATCAATGTTACAGGAGTCAGGATAGAACCAAAATCCATAATTTGCATTAAGAATACACTGTTAACACACCACACATTACCCATGCATTTAAACATAGTATCTTGGAATGTGTGGTTGGACCTAACTCAACCTTACAAAACTGGCTTGTAACGTGAGGATTGTCTCCACTTATAAACACATCACAGGTCATATCTCTAAGCAATTTGAGACTACATCAACCCCTTCAAACACAACACAATGAAGGTGTTGGAGGCAACAATGAAGACAAGCAAAATGTCCAACACACCCTCTCACGCTTGGGCCTCAATGAAGCTGCAATGTAGACAATGAGGGAAGCCTAACAAGTGATCTAGGATAGGCTCGTATACCATCTTAGAATGTGCGGTTGGACCAAACTCAACCTTACAAAACCGACTTGTAAGGGGAGGATTGCTTCCACTTATAAACACAACGCAAGCCATATCTCTAAGTAATGTGGGACTAAATCCACCCATTCAAACACAACGCAAGCCATATCTCTCAGCAATGTGGGACTAAATCCACCCATTCAAACCCAACACAATGAAGGTGTTGGAGGCTGCAATGAATGCAAGCCAAATGTTGCAATTTATGCAACTAGGGGCAGACCACAAAGAAGGCAAAACTTCCAATATAGTACAATGACATGTTTCCTCAACAATCAAACTCTTAAGCAAGACTCGCTCCACATTCAAGCCACATCATCTTTTTTTTTTTAAAACAAGTAACAGGTTTAGTTGGTCTTTAAAATTTAAACATTTTTGTAACTAAAAGAAACCAAAAGCATACTGTCATGCAAGCCCTCTATTGTAGGTCCTTTCTTGTTCTAATACCCACGACTACGTGGGGCACCGATGTTACTTCAAACATTGGATAATGTTATCTAAGCAGGAAAGAAAATGGGATCGCGTCGCAATTTGGCAGTGACTGAAAAGGGGGTTTTGATGAATTGTGACGAGGGTGAATTCCACACTAATTAAGTTAATAAAAGTATGTTTGGTGTCTATAAAACTAATCAACTCAGAATACTCCAAGCTCAACAATCAACAAAATATCAAGCAAATCGAAATAATCATAATTAAACAAAGAATTAGCATTAATGTAGTCCTTGAAGGATAAAGCATCCATCAATTAGATTCCTAAACTTTTTAACTCCAAAATCAAACACCCTAATCCAGGTCGATCTCAAGCAACAATTAGGGAAGAAAAAAAGAATAGAAAGAGAAATCGCACCATTTTGATGGATTGTTCTTCAATTTGATTAGTCTCACGGTACGTGATTCAGAACATTGATGGATGAAGATGTCTCTCTCTGATTTGGATGAATGAAGAGAAAATTAGGGTTAAGGGGTTTCGCTGTTTTTTCCTTGCCGGTCAGATCAGATTTTTTTTTTATTATTTGGACAGTGGGATTCTCGTTATGGGCCGTAAACGAACACTTTATGACTAGCCTTTCGACTTTAGACGAAAGAATGAAATTGTTAACCACACCCTTATATTTTATTGTACACCCCTAATGTTATTAATTTTTGTTTACATGAGAAGAGAAAGGAAAGAAATGGATTTTATCCGTTTGAGTATTGTTATTTACTACTCACAATTTACGACTATTGCTTATATAAGTGTTAATTATTTAATATTATGTCCAAAATTTATAAAAAGAAATTTAGTTGTAATAACGTTTGAGAAAGTTTCTCCCACACACAGTTAGTGTCTGAATTTAAAATTGGTCAAATTTATTTTCACATTTTTCAGCGTTTTTTAAGAAATTTTAACATGCGTGTTATTCACTACTTCTGATATACTAATCACATACTCAATTTGAACACATTCTTCTTATATTTCGAATTTCAATCTTTATATCATAGGTCTGAATTCTAATCTCTATATTTTCCTTTTGTGGTGTTTTTCACCCTTTTATAATAAGTTATATGAAATTTGACATTTTTTAATAAATTTGAATTATAAGTCATTTATTAATCGATCCTGCAATAAACCATACACATTTATCACTCAATAATAACATTAAAATACAAAAAATATTGTGTGTGTATATATAAATGTCAAAATGCCATCATTTCATAATTAATCCAAATAAAACCATAATACAAAAATATCAAAATATAGAACATAAAATCTCACTACTGTGTAAATCAAACATTTTGTTACTCCTCTTTCATCGGTAGTGCAACGCATGTCGTGTCTATACTAAGATGGCTTATAAAGTGGTCATCTGAGGAATGTCTTCCTCAAACTCGTTCTTAGTTATGACATCTCTCCTAATACAGACAATGTGATGACATAAAGGTAACACATTAGCGACATGGTCCTCCATCGCTTGCTCCTTCTCTAAGATCTCCTGGTGAGTTGTGTTGAGAATTACAAGTGTGAGTAGTATTGAGAAGTTCCACATTGGTTAAAAATGTGAAGACTTGAGCATTTATAAGTGGGAGAATCCACCATTTATCACCTTAAGATTTTAGGCGAGTATGTGGTGTGTGTCTCACAAATGTGTGTTGCTCATAAAAGAAAAAAGTCCCCAAATTTAAAAATACTCCCTCGTGTTGACCCCTAAATTACCCCTAACAAGTTGGTCTCAAGAAATCTCCTTCTGCATCTAGTGTCAAGTAAGAATGTGACACACTATAAAATTATTAGATATAACTATATACCGTACTCCATGGATGAGAATTGCACACGATGCACTTCCTCTAGCATCAGATTATCAAAGTATGCTATAAAATTCTCATTAACATTCTTGAGATGATATGAACAACACTATTGAATGTAGCTATATATCGTACTCCGTGGATGAAGATTACACACGATGTACATCCTTTAGCACCAGATTATCGAAGTACGCTATAAAGTTCTCATTAACATTATTAAGATGACATTGACATGAATATCAGCGGTGGGGTTTTGGGGTATCCTAGATATATCCAAACTGACGCATGACTTGCTTAGATAGATAGGGACATCGAGACCCATATGTCAATCAACCAGAGTACAATGTTATCACCTCCAAGGAACGTGTGAAACGATGATTGGCGTACGTCATCTAGTTAATGTCACCAACCACGATGTGATTTAGAGCAACTCAGAACGGCTCGATCACCTGGTTCCCTCTGAGTGGGATGATCAACCACATACGTTTAATGTCCAGATTAAGTGTCAGAACTAGAGAACAGAGCATGCGACCCTAAACTCTAGTGCTCAAAAATACAATACAAGGCAATTTAGGACAAACACAACAAACATTTATATTGTATTTAAGCCTAAAATGTCATACTTATAGTCTATTTAGATAATGCATACATGTGAAATCAAAAAGGAGAGAGAATGAACTTACTAATACAATGGAAATGAGTTTTAAATAAGTGCAATGTAGGAGAGTAGAGACGTGATAAAATTGAATGCAATAGATAAAAGGTATGAGAAGGCTTGAAAATAAGGAGGAATTATTTTGTAATCGCAAATGAGGATCATCTCTTCGTATTCTCTGTTTTTGCACTTTTGCGAAAATAGAAATGTAAGGGGAGAGGGAAAAGCGCAAGTTTATTTAAACACAAGTGTCTGGATTCCAATTTCCGAAAGAAATCTGAACTTTGAAATTTGATTTTTTTTTAATTGTGATCTTGATTTCATTCTAGATGTTATCCGTTAGGATTTGAAGGGTGCCTTTAAAATTTTGCAAGGGTGCATGAATAACACATGGGGTGAAATACCCTTGAACATAAGGGAATTTCTTAATCCACCCTATGTAGTCGAAAAGAACCCTATGAAAATTCAAAAATGTCCTTCTGTTTTTGTAAATGTATTTCTGAAACGCATCACACACACATATAATTCTTTTGTTTTTGAGATACACCTCATTTTACGATTTGATTTATTTCGGAAATATATTTCTGAAAATCTCCAGAAATGCATTTCCAGAGCCTAGTGAATTTCATAAATTACCTTTTGAAAGCATTTGATGAAAGGTTCAAAGATTGTGAAATAGGTTCTATGATACTTGCTTGCGATGCGACAATCAATCATATTTGTACTTCTCATCAATTTCAATATTTAGTGAGAAAACTAAAGATAACAAAGTTAGTTGTCACTTTATTAGAGAAAAATTATCCCAGACATTATCAAAACTTTTAAGTTGGCTCTAATAATCAACCTGACATAATAACAAACTAGATGCATCCGACATAAATGTCGCAGTTTGAGGGATAGTGTTTGACAATATTTATTATTTATTTTATGTCACTAGAACCTAATTTTCTAGATTATTCATTTTAATTTGATCTCAACCTAATATTATTTTTTCAAAATGAGAATGTTACAGCATATAAGTGGACACACAAAACTAGATAAAATTAAAAACCGGAAATATATTTAATTCAAAAATGAATGAAATATATGTGTATATGTATTTCCAGAATCTAAGAGCATTTTCAGAAATTCACAGTCCGCTAGAAGATTATAGAGTGTGTTACGAAATTCCCGACCATAATTAGGGGCATAGGCCTTTCCTGAAATAAGACCTGCATCTGACCCACATTTGCAGACAATTTCTCAATTTAAACAGAATCGACACAAAATAACAAATATATGAAAATACTAATAAAAACAAATAAAAAACGAAATAGATAAAGGAGTACATGCATTATAATACTTGTCACTTAATATAACTTCTATTGTCCTGAAAATTAGTACCGATACAAGTTTCTACAACCCAGCAAAGATCGAAGCTCCTCTGGATTCTGATGATACTAATTACTCAGTGACTCTTCATCAGAGTGACTTGAATTAGAAAGATTTGGGTATAAAGAATGAGAGACGACTAGTCACATGAATAAGAGGACTTTTCTGGTGTCTAAACAACAAATGACCAAGAATTCAACTTTGTTGAAGAGGTAATTAACCACTTCCATTACACATTATATATGGCTCACACTGAACACAAAATATATATACTTCCACAGTTCCACCTATCTTAGGCTCCCAAAACAAACAACTACATAAACAATTAACATTTATTAAGCAATTTTTATGTACAATTCTGAGCCAATAAGCCAAAATCAACTGACATTTATTTTTAAGCTTTCTAGTGTCTTGAATTCATTGAAGCTCCCTTTTGCCTGCTTGACAAAACAGCGCCCTCTGACCATGATGACGGTTTATATCCCCCAGCCAAAAGGCTAGATGCCGCACTAGCAGAAATTTTTCTTCTTTTAGACTCTAGCTCCAGCCTTCTCTTGCCAGACATGGATGAGGCAGACAATCCTGGGAATATGGAAGCAGAGTTGATCAATGCCCGCTTGTCCTTCCTATTTTTTTCAAACTTACTAGAAAACTTCACTTTTGCTGCTGCAGCAGCATCTTGTTCCGAAGCTGGAAGTAGTCGAATTCCAAGGCCCCTTTTCCTAGAAGCAGCTTCTTCTGCAGCGACTCTTTTCTTTTGACTCTGAGAAAATGGAAAAGGGAGAAACAAATATTAGAGGCAAAATGGAAAATTCAATGGATAAATAAAGGAGGACAAATTTCATGAGCTAAGTAACATACTCTAAGTTTGGCCCGGAGACTCTTATTTATGGCATAATCATCCGAATGTCTGGCATCAGACATTCTCTGGAGACGCACAAGCACTGGTTCAGCTTCTTTCTTTTTCTTCAAGTCTTCTTCCTGGTGTTCGAGGCGGTAAAATGGATCAGCAAGCTTCCCTTTCTCTGTAGGGAGAATGTTTTAAAAAAAAAATTAAGTTAGCTAACATTCACAATAGTGAATCAGCCCCTACACTTACCACAGCTACAATGCTGAATTAGGTAAAAAACATTAAACTTATTAAAAGGACAGAATTCATAGAAAACGGCAAATCCCAAAGGATCAATGGCAAACTCTGCCACTTCAATAATAAAATTGAAAGATGCAATAACATGTATCAAACTACAATGGCAAATGCACACCAAATTTTACATATAAAAAAATAGGCTTAAATGCAGTTTTGACCCCCCTAGTTTAAGGTTTTTGGAGTTTCGATCCCCCTAGTTTAAAAGCCAGGTTTCTAGTCCCCATAGTTTTCAAATTTGGGATTTTTGAAGCCCCCTCCATCTGGCTGCCCAAAAAATTTGCAAATTTGGGATTTTTGAAATCTCGTACGGGCGGATGGAAGAGGAAATTAGGTTAAGCAATTTGGGATTTTCAGAAAATATGAATTATGAAATTAAAAATTCATTTGGAAATTAATATCACTTATTTAAATGTTTAAAAAATATTATTCTAAATAAGAAATAAGAAAATAATACGTGGCATTACTCTCCCTGTGCCATGTCACATGGAGGGGGTTTCAAAAATCCCAAATTTGAAAACTTTTTGGGCAGCCAGATGGAGGGGGCTTCAAAAATCCCAAATTTGAAAACTATGGGGACTAGAAACCTGGCTTTTAAACTAGGGGGATCGAAACTCCAAAAACCTTAAACTAGGGGGGTCAAAACTGCATTTAAGCCAAAAAAATAATAATAATAACAGCAAAGATTTTTTTTCCATAATGCGCACCTTCATCAGCAGGTAATTCAAAAGTTTCTGCATCTTCAACATCAAAGTCCTCAGTTTTTTTCTGAGCCCCACTGATGATAACATACTCACAGTTCTTTGGATCAGTCTGGATGGTGATCTCTTGTCTACAGCATGCAGCTTTCATGGTAAAGCTCCATATCTGAAGGTACCAATATAAATAAGTTAACTATTAGTAAACAAGAGGCAAATTGAACAGCACTATTTAGATTGGCCCCAAGATGCAGTGCATTTACTCTTGAAAATATTAAGGTGTAAGGAATGTATAAACATCCATATCATATTATAACTGGTTAGTGTTTACACTAAACGTAAGGAAGTTACTACCTCATTAGAAATTTAAAACAGTTGGAAATTTTCAATTTGCAGAAAGTTTTTCCAGAAAGTCATAAGAAGTGTGGCATAATAAGCTATTAATATTGTAAGACTTAACTGTCATTGGATCAAAATTAATTATTGTATGTAAAATATATAAACAAGTTTGTCATGCTTCTATATCTTTGTTTTAAAATAATACTTTCGCTTGTAGCCATAATAAACATTAGATGCTTTGAACTCTACTTCAACATACCTTTGTGGAATAGTAATTCCCAACTTGCTTCTTTTCTGCATTGAACCGGACACCCTTTGCAATCATAGAATTACATCCTCCACACCATATATTATAAGGCATCTCAAACCTGAAAGCAGCATCAGACAATATGGAATGAAAAATTAAGAAAAAATAAATAACCCAGATGGGAAAAGAGGCCATATGCAGACAATCAAGTGTACACGCAAAGCTGAATTAATGCATGCACTCAAATACACACAAACCAAAGAACATATGTAAGTAAGAACCTAGTCCATAAAAATATATGAGTAGATTATCCATTCAGTGTTGTCGACGCCAGATGGTGGTAGCCAAAAATCCTGCCATACCGGCCGCTTTGCAGCGCCATTATAGCGGATTATGGCAGAAAAACCCCCAATATCGGCCAATGTTTACCATTGCGGCAAGCACAAAAAACTGCCATGTCCGCCATTGCGCCGCCGTGGCGGATATTTGATAACATTTTATCCATTCCAATTATATGGGCTATTAAATTGGTCTGAATTCATAAATCATGACCCGTATCAAATACTTTTTTAATATCATTCAGCTATAACTCACTTGTGACTATTCTAGGTACAAAATGAACATACATAGCTTAGAATGGTCATCATCCACATTGTTTAATTTACCATACTACAGAGAACAACAAAGGACCTATTGTAGGAAACCAAACTTTCAAGATAAATTATGAAGACAAATGGATTAATGGCCAGACTGTAGCTCAGTAGCTGCTGTTAAAATTAACCACTTACCTTATAATCAAGATACCCTGATCTATCTTCCTTGCTCTCTCTCTTAAGGCATGTTGGCCATGAAACGAGTTCAGAGAACCCTGAAAGGACGAAACATAGTGTAAGATCTCTCTACTAAATAGTAAATAGTTTAAAAGAGCAAACTTTTTGTAAGCAAATATACCTGGCTTGGATCCCATTCTGGGGGATAGTAAAAGTTGTCTGCTCTAGCAGCTGCAAGGGAGGACTGCAGTAATACAAACAACGCAAGCTCAGTTATTTTGAAAATCTAGTAAGAAATGCCACATAAAATACGAGTTACATAGTTTTTTTCTTCTGGTGGCCACATCGATACGGAGTAGGCGCAGACAATAAAAACTTCATAGATATCCATAACATAAGCACTCAAATTAGATGAACCAAACATGTACGGAATTCCAAAGCCATTTTGAAAAATGAAGAAAACCATTGTAGATTTATATCATACATAGACCACTTCGATTAATTGTGAATACATTATACGATATCAATGTTGTAGGAGTCAGGGGTAGAATCAAAATCCATAATTTGCAGTTCAATTGTGTGTGTGTGTGTGTGTGTGTGACAGTGTTGTCAATGGCGGATGGCAATCCATGGAGGAGAGCCAAAACCCCGCCATACCGGCCGCTTTGCGGCGTTGTCATTGCGGATTATGACAGAAAAGCACGCAATAGCGGCCGATATTTACCATTGCGGCAAGCCCAAAAACCGCCATGTATATCCGCCATAGCGGCCATGGCGAGACAATTTGATAACACTGGTGTGTGAAGAATGCTACAGTCAAATTCTTAAGGGAGACTCGCTCCACAATCAAGTCATGTCATCTATTTTTTAAAACCAAGCAAGCACCTGGTTTAGTTGGTTTTTAAAATTTAAACATTTTTTGTAACTATAAGAAACCAAAAGCACACTGTCATGCAAGCCCACTGGTGTGTGTCCTTTCTTGTTCTAATGCCCAACAGCTATGTGGGGGCACCTAGATGCGAGTTCAAACATTGGGATAGTGTTATCTAAGCAGGAAAGGGGATGGGATTGCCATAAAGTTCAAGTTGCAATTTGGCAGAGAATGAAAAGGGAGTTTTGATGAGTTGTGACGGTGATGAGATTCTTGTTGTTGTTCCTGTAACCAAGTTGTATGACAGAGGCTTTATAAGCCGTTCTAAAGCTAGAAAACCCATGTCATAAACCAATCTCATATGATAGGATCTTCTAAAAACCTTCATAGAGCAATCCACTATGAAGTGCAAGTAGTGGAAAAAGGTGAAGTTGGTGGGTGTGGGATGTTGAAGTTGAGGGATGTTACGTACCACAGGAATTAGAAACAAATCAGACAAAATGGAAATGAAGCAAATATGAGAAATGATGAGTGTATTTTTTATTGATTGAATAAGGGAAGATATACAGATAAGGTCACACCCAACTGCCCAGAGTTATGCTCCGTTTAGGAAGCTAGTGGCTCCGAACCATAACTGGATTCACAAACTTAAGGGTGACTCCCTCCAATTACAATGCTCTCCCTATATCTACTTTAATTTACTATTTGTACTTTTCATGTTAAGATCTTACAGATAACTTTATATGCAATACCCTAGCAGTGCCAAGCATGGAACTTAAAAAATTTGTCATGCTCCCGCATCAGTTTTATATCCATTCTCCCTTCCTAAATTCCTATGGTACTATACTGCAACATACTAATAGAAAACCAAACACATTTCATTACTATTCTGCTAAACAAACCCCTTTCATCCAATCAACTCAAAGAATGACACACCCAATGATTTATTCAAAGTTCAACAATCAACATAACATCAAGCAAATCGAAATAATCATAATTAAACAAATAACTAAATATTAATCAATTTGATTCCTAAAATTTGAGAGGAGTAAATTGATAACATTTTAACTCCAAAATCAAACATCAATGGACAAATTCATCGGTTACCATCGCAAAGAAGAGAATATTGACGGAAAATAGCGTACAGGTAGCGATCTACACAAAAACCCTAATCCTGATCGATTTCATGCCACAAAACGAGAAAATAAAAAATAAATAAAAAAGACAGAAAGAGATTTCGCACCATTTTGATGTATTGTTCTTCAAATTCTGATTAGTCTCTCTTTCGACGGTACGTGAATAAGGAGGTTGATCGATGAAGATGTCTCTCTCTGATTTGGGAAGTTGTCTTGGATGAATGAAGAGAAAATTGTGGTTAAGGGGTTTCGTTTATCTTCCTTGCCGTATAGGAAGACTTTATTACCAGCCCTCCGACTTTAGACAAAAGAATGGAAGTTGTAAACCACACCCTCTTAATTTGTTGTACACCCTTAATGTTTTTAATTTTTTTTTTTTTGATTTATATGAGAGAGTAAAAAGAGAAATTTTGTTATTAATATTCTTATAATGAACACTCTTGGAGTACGAGATAACAAACCTAATGACAAGACACAATTAAAGGGTTTATGTTAATAGCATTTGTTTTAGGTGGGTTGAAAGGCCTAGAAGGCGAAAGTCTAATGAAGACATAAAGTTATGAAGTTATTTCTTTTTCTCCCGTGTTGTAGAATACCTTTTAGGAGCATGTCATATTAATCTACCAATTAATCTAATAATTAATTTGACTTGAGTGTTGGAATGTTATTCCTTCAAGTCAGTTATCTCTCTATCACATCGAAAATCTTGAACCACTACAATAAATTGTGAATTCATCCACGAAAAACATTGACGATGTATGTAGGAATCAAATTATGATTCTTGAGATCTTCATGTTCCATTGTTTTTCGATCCAATAGTAATCTTAATCTTCTTCGATTGAAGTGAAGATCTCAGTCTCTCAAATGTTTCCATCGAATTCAGAGTCAAGCCTTATTTCATTAGATCCATTAAAAAATTGTAGTTTACAATACTACTCGCTCTACCATTCAACAATGAGCAACTAAAAATCATTCTTTTTCTCCTTAATGTACTGAGGATAAAGTCTTAATAACCGCTTCTTATGTTCCTCTGCTGCCAAATTCTGCCCAACTTTCGGCGGATCAAGGAACTTCATAACTTCTTCCATTCCTTAGATCTAATATGCAAATTCACTTAGGCGAATCTTACTTTAGAATTACAATGTTGCATGTTGTGTCCGAACAAGAAGCGCTTCCAGGCTTTTAGCTTTTGTGGGCTAGTCTTGGCCTACAACGAGCTAATGAACTATTAAATAGTGTGTACCATATGGTTTAGTAGCAAAACTCTCAGGGCTTGGTAGACATACTAACTCAAATCGAATAAAGTTTGCACAACACTAACCTAAAAAGTAATATTGTGCAAGAGGCGGCTTCACACGAAAATCCCACCCTTGAGCAATTAAGGCATCCAAAATTCTCCAAGTTGCCAATGACACAAGTGTCATATTCCTTCTCCTTATCCCAAAGAAGGCAGGGGTAGTCATACTCATTCCAAAGTTCGTCGTCCTAGGAGGATAGAAGAAAATGCTCTTGTGGATATATGTGTTTGCAGGTATAAGACTCTGTAAAAGACTATTTCTGAAGTTTTTATGACGCCAACGTCAATAGTTGTGATGTTGAAGTCGGTGGCAATAGCTCTCAACAATCTGATGATGGTAAACTGACTAGTAAAATATTTCAAAACCTCATTAAGAAAAGAGACTCAAGATGGAAGTGATTATATGATCGGAGCATCCAACAAAGAATCTTGAAATCTCAGATAAAGTGTGAAAGCTCACCAGGTTGTATATGTCTGGGTAGCCAGAGTTTGGTAAAAGTAAGGAAGTAACTCTTAAGTTCTAAGTCACTCACTCTCACACACACACACACACACACACACACACACACACACACACACACTTAAAGACTTTTTCTAATCATTTTACATCTTAAAAATGTTTTCAAAACTATGTCAAGTGATTAAAAAGTCATCCACTATCGGTTAAAAAGACTTTTAAACTAACCAATCGATTAGGGACTCAAGCAAATCAATTGGGAAACCTTTTTTAAGTCTGCCAATCGTTTGGAGCATTAAGCTAATCGATTGGATAGAGCATAAACGGTTAACCAAATAATTAGGAAAACACATTAATGACTCATAACAGCTATATATCAAATATTTCCATGTTGGACAAGGTAATCGATTAAAAACGACTAGTCCAGTCGATTTGAGCATTATGTCAATCGATTGGCTCATCAATTTTGCTCATGGATTATTTCCTTTTTTGATTTTTATAACTCTTATATAAAGGAAGGTCGCCTCATCTTCATTTCACTCCATTTTTCAAAGATTTACATTTTCTTCAGAATTTATCTCTCTATTTTCTCTCCTTCTCTCTCTAGAAATATTTCTTGTGAGAAAGAGTTTATAAGTGGTTGTGTTGTTTGTTTAAATTTTAGAGTGTGATACTCTTAGATTGAGTTTGGTTCATGAGATAAACCAGCCATAAAATCTTTGTTTTTGATTTGTAGACTTCGTAAGAAATTTTTTTGTCTTGGTTATTGAGATTAGACTTAAAATCTTTAAGAATGTTCGTTAGCTTAGCTTGTGGCAAAATATATCTTTGGTTGAGAATAAGCCTGTAAAAATCTTAAGATTAGATTGTATAAAGGTTCGTGGGTATAACATGAGTTTTTAAAGGTAGGGCTTTTCACAAATTTGGCCAATAGGAACTCAATATTTTCATCCTCTACTTCTAATGTGAGCTTTCATGCTTAACCTTTATAATTAATCCAACTATAGAGAGAAAGGGTCTACCTAATAGGATCAGGATTTCAGTATCGTCCCGTATATCCATCACCACAAAATCTGTAGAGATGATTAGTTTCCATATCCTTATCTACATATCCTCTATAATTCCTACGGAATACTTGACTGATCTATCTACCAGTTACAAAGATAATCTAGTGGGCTTCATATCAACAAGACCTAGTTTTTCATAGACGGACAAAGGCAGCAAACTCACACTCTCCCCTAGATAACATAAAACCTTTTCAAAACTCAACATTCCTATGTCTTTTAATTTCGGAGGTAGATCGTTTTGGATGACAGTGTTGCACTCTTTCATTAGCACCATAGTCTAAGTGTCCTCTAATTTTTATTTGTTAGATAAAATCTCCTTTAGAAATTTGGCATAAGATGGCATTTTTGCTAACGCCTCAATGAAAGAGATGTTGATATACAACTTTTTCAGAAATTCAACAAACTTCCTAATATGGTCTTCAATCTTGGTTTTCACTAATCCTTATGAAAACGGGATATGGGGTTTATATGGCGGGGGAGCCACATACGATTCTTCCTTTTGTTTTTCAAGTACCTCCTTTATAGGTGGGATTGATTCTCCCTCCTTTTCATATGGCACAACCCCATTGTCGTCATCCTTTCCTATATGGCCCTTATCTGCAGTATTATCCAGTTCTTTTCCACTTTGCAACATTATAGTGTTTATGTGTCCCTTGGGTTTGGCTTCGATTGACAAGGAAAAACTCCAATGGAGGCAGCGGTGGATGCTTGTTGTTGGACTACTTGAGCAATCTGGGTTTCAAGCATCTTGTTTTGAATATCCATGGTGTCAACTTTATTTGCTAGCTGCTTTATCATTTTGTTGATAAGGATGTTCTTATTTAAAAACTCCTTATTTTGCTGGATTTGTGCCAAGATAAAATTCTCCATCATTAGTTTCAAGTTTGACTTTTATAGGAGCAACACGAATTACGGTTTGGCCTAGATAGTCAGGTGGAACTCTAGATTGTGGCAGTTTAAATTGCATAATTAATAAATACGATGTTTTCAAAAACCACAATAAATTTGAGTTGCCGCAAGGAAAATAATGGCGTTTAAAATTAAACACCTTACAAATCGTCGTTTTATTCATGATTTAAAGTGGCGGTTTTTGTTTGAAAATAGTGATTGTTTCAAACGCCACAATATTTTACATAATAAACAAAACAACGCCACATATTTCACATAATAAACAATATCTGCAAATTATTTGTTGGTTAAAGCCGTCATAATATACGAGTAGTTACGTTATTTTAAACTCTCCTAATTTACTTATGAAATTAGCCAAAATATTTTCAATTTAACTTCAAAAAGATCTCTTTGAAATATACTAAAATAAATTTAAATTTTTTGTCTCAATTTAACACAACACTAAAAATAAATTAAAATATGTATAATAAGTTTACATTTATACATTCATGTAAAAAATCTAAAGAACATATAAATATATATATATATATATATATATATATATATATATATATATATTTATATATATATATATATATAATATATATATATATATATATATATATATATATATATATATATATATATATATATATATATATATATATATATATATGTTTAACCTTTTTAAAATTACATAATAAATGTAAATGTTTGATACAATTATCGCATGTTATTTCCAAAATATTAAATATAAAAATGGTCACAATTATTGTATCAGTTATCTTAAATTATTCTCAAAATAAACAAATTTTAGAATATAAAAGTGCCATAAAAAATTATATGTCATTTAAAAGACTCACGTATATTATTTGTATATGATGATTTTCTTATGTCATAACTGCTTCAAAAATCTACAAAAAAACAAAATAATTATTATATTACAACTAATCAGTAAGGAAATATAGAATACATGTATGTTTTGCGTTTTCATATCATGCTCTCACAATTACTACATACTTGGTGCCAACGTTCATATACATTTTCAACCTAGTAGTAAACAAGCATATGACTCACATTTAAATTATTCATGAAGAATATATTTATAAAAATATCAAAATCATAACATGAAGTGTATATTTATAGAAACATCAATACCAATAATTACTTCATCAAATACAAGTATTTAACAAGAAGAAAAGTCTAACGGAATGGATGTAAAGTTGGAATGATTTCAATTTTGATGTCGTCATTATAAGAAATATTGAAATTTGTCAGAGAATTTAATCGGGAGTTAAACCCCTAACAAAAAAAATAAGGTTGTTTCACTATGCCAAACAAATACATAGAAAGCGCTTTTTTGATCATAGACAGCGTTTTAAAACGCTGTTTAAACCAGCA